TTAGTGATAATTTTTTTTATGGCAAAAGTTGTTAAACGAGCAGGCTGGTGACTCATGTTAAGTGATTACCGCCATCCATGGAAATCTACAACACGCGAAGGCTTGCAAATGCATCGACAACCTTAAAAAAAGTGGGCCCCAGTTACCTCACTCAGCAGACGATAGCTAATTCTATTAATTTAATTATGTATTAATATAACTTACTACCAAAATTTCGTCCACAATGATCACGTCGTCGTCAGAATTATTTATGTGATTGATACAAAAAACATGTCGTTTTTTTAGTAATAAAAAGATGAAATAACATTTTTTATCATTTTTACTAAGTAACTCATCTGTACTGTCTGTTTTACTAAGTAACTAATTACTGATTATACAAAATGTCACCCCCTTTTAATTTTAATATCGTTATCTGGGGATGTTACTTTTAAATTTCTGATATAAATATTTTTTTATTTCTAAAAACCCTTTTGTAAAAGTTTAATAAGCAATTCCATTCGCAATTATTATCTATCAATACAACATTTCCATCAATTTGGCCCTTATAGATTGACTTACAGATTTATATGTACAAAATTGAATGTTTATTATCTCGGCGACAACATAACCAAATGAGATTAAGAAAAGGCCTATGTCATACAAATACTGACGAATTACTATTTATTCGTGTGTCGATAAAAATAAATCAAATTGATGTTAAAATATTATAACTATATGATATGTTTGAGCTAATTACACATGCTTTTTGTAAGTAATAAAACAAGCCAAAAAATGCGAGTCGGAATTGCGCACGAAGGGTTCCGTACCATGATCTATAAAAACGGCAAAAAACATCATGTCTGTTGTATGGGCGCCCAACTTAAACATTTTGCATTCTGTTTTTTTAGAATTTGTTGTTATAGCGGCAACATAAATATATCATCTGTGAAATTTCAACTGTCTAACTATAACGGTTCACGAGATACAGATACAACATTATGTGACATATTTAAGTGAATTTGACAGAACTAGAACAGAAATAGAACGTATTATACGGAAAAAGCAGTTGAAATCTAATTACACAAATTGGCGTAATTTGAGCGTTTCAGTTTCGGTGCGCTAGTGTCATATCTACCTCGTATTTGTATATAATATCATTAGTCCGTGTACCTGAAGCCGATCCTGTGTTATATCTCGAACCACCTGCATCTTCGTCTGATCCCGAGTCTTCATATGAATCGGATTCATTGCTTTCACTTGAGTCTTCGTATGATTCTGATTCAGAATCCCCACCTTCGTAAAAAAATATTCATGTTTTACTACGATTAATAAATAACAAATGCATTAAAATAATAAAGAATACAGATGTAATTTTAAGTGTGGCAGGAGAAATTTAACGCTGACGTGTTAATAACCCAATTTTATTACCCAATTTTAGGTTGCAAGAGTATTTAAAGGTACTTCCGCTATTACTTTTTATTTTAAACATTGCAATATAATAGGAGTAAAAGCAAACAAACTTAAATGTATTTTTTTATGGGCACTTTTTTAAGATTTTGATGGAAGTGTAAGTGTTGTCCGTGTAAAATATATTGTTATGGACCTACCACTTGCTACCGTTCCACCTCCATTTCCCCTACCGTCAGAAATAGCTGAAAGGTTAAACCAAAACTACAAACTTATAATAATAATTTTCTCTTAGTCATTGGTAGGTGAAGTTCAAATCGCTTTTTTTACCTTAATTTATAAAAAGATACTCACGCTGTAGTGATATTTTTCAGGTGTCAATAAACAAGTCATATACCCAAATAAATTATATGTATGTGTTTCCTTACCCAAGTCCATGCACCAAATAACCTTTGTAAATTTTTTGAAGATCCCATTTAAAATAATTAATGTAACTTACGTGGTGGTGGTCCTTTAGTTTTATAACTAGCAGCTAGAATTAATGAATTATAATACAATATAGAGAAAATTAATAAATATATCTTAGCACCCATTTTCTGGGCTGGTACGTTCGATGATCTTTTTTGCATCGCCTTATATTTGCAAAAAAGTAATTAAAATTTTATGTCATGATATAAAATATTGATAACTATTCATTACCAAATCATGACAATCGTGACTTATAGAACAATAATTAAGTATTAAAACATTTGTTTCTAAAATTAATGAGCAGCTTATTTTTAGAATATTTTATCATAATTTTATAATATTCATTATATATATATATATATATATATATATATATGTATATATTATAATTTAAGCCTGGGTCCTCTGTTGAACATTAGCCTTCCCCTCAGACTGTTCCTAAGCGTCCATCGAATTCCCGTATATTTCATCACTACATCTAATAGGATGGAATCCCTACACTGCGATGGTAACTATGAGGCTGCCACTCTAGAACCTTTATCGTATATTGGAACAAAAAAAACATCAGGAAAATGATGATGATATAGTTATGACATATAAAAATAGTAGTATCGGCGTGTCGGTACATTGAAATTTATGAAAAAATTAAATCGGGTGTCACAAAAAGAGTCATAGACACGTTAAAACCATTTTTGAAATTTTTGTCTGTCTATCTGTCTGTCTGTTCGCTTATTACTTCAAAACTATTTATCAGATTTTGATTCAATTTTCACTGGTTACTTAAGCTTAGCTTCGGGCAACATATAGGCTAAAATTTGTAGAAAAGAAGTTGTTTCATCGCAATCGGTTTTCTTAAGCGGAAGATATGTCAGTACTAAGATTGAAGCAATGCAACCGCAAACTGTGTTATCACAGCTAGCCAACTACCGACTCAATTTTGTTGGTGTTTTTGAAATCATGTAAAGAATACTTCTGTGTAACATTCAAGTTTTATTTAATTACAATCGTTTCACTCAAACAGAAGATATGCGATTAGTCACAAACCACAGGATCGATTTGTACGGGTTTTTTGACAGCCAGTTAGTTTAACTTTCTTGCAATACTTAAGTTTCGTATCATCGCAATTGGTTCACTCAAATATATACGTTAAAAATTACTGTATCAATTTGAATACTTTAAATTTTTTCAAATGACTTAGTTCGCAATACAAAAAATAACCATCAATACAAAATGTGCTATCAGCGATAATTTTTTCACTATCATAACTTGAATCTTCAGTTTCAAAATAAAAAGGTTTTACTTAACATATTCTCCAATTGATAGAATTAAAACCATCTTGGGTAAATTAAAGATAAGAAATTAGTTCCTGCGCAAAAACTAGATGGCGTTGTTAAATTTCTAAAATGCGCTATAACTACTTTTTCAAAAGGTCACTTATGGGCGAGACAACGAAGCGCTGACAATTTGCATTGTAATAATAGTATTGCGAATTTTAATTGTAGGTTATCTAATAAGTACGATTTTAATTTTGCTCGGTATACGTATATTCTTGAATTTATTTTTGAATTAATGAGGAAGGGCAAGTACGACTGAGTACTGATAGGAAAAGCCATTCATTATATTGCACATTAATGTGAGACTGAATTTTCACTGAGCGCCAATAGAGGCGCTCAAGAGGCTAGAGGCTAGATTTTTATCTCTGGTCAGAAGAATAAAAGTTGCGATTGACGGTTAACGTGCGAACTCAGGTTGATGAGCCACGAAATTCTGATGTCAACCGGAGAGATTCATAGCGGTGGCGATTTGTCCGATATTTTCTTCCATAATTAATCGGAAAATATCTACTTTATAATGTAATTGAATCTTTATCTTAACTTTCCCAATATATTTTTTATTTCTAAATATGTGTTTTAATTTTTAAATCGCAAAGTGCACTCTTATTGGGACGCCTTATACAACGTGTCGCTATTACCGCGACCATAAATAAACTTACAAATAGAGGATAACTTTTTAAAATTGTATTAAACATTTACTTTGATTAAACATCGAATTTTACCGAGTTATTTAATTTTCCAAAACAAATAATTTTAGACAACCAGTACTATATGTACGTATAACTGTAACGTAAAGTTCATTTGTAAAAGTCACAAATCATATGAATTGGTTGAATTCATTTAAAAGAGATAAAACATACTTTTAGTCGGAGGGACTTGTGACGCGACGTTGTGGCAACGAATGAAAAACCAGTCATGTGCGAGTCGGACTTGTACACAAAGGGTTCCGTACCATTATCTATAAAAAGGGCAAAAAAATCATGTCTGTTGTATGGGAGGCCCTGTTTATGTGTTCTGTTTTTTAGTATTCGTTGTTATAGCGGTATCGGAAACATATCATCTGTGAAATTTTTACCGTCTAACTATCACGATTCATGAGATACAGCCTGGTGACACACAGACAGACAGACAAGCAGACAGCCGAGATTTACTAATAAGGTCCCGTTTTACCCTTTAGGTACGGAACCCTAAAAAGTATCTGAATATATGAATCAGTCGGTTGTAGTTGTATAGGTGATACAAATTTTGTTTCTTTCTTATTTAATTAATATGTTTGAAAATAGTTTCTTTTTAATTTTGGATTTTTTAACGCTTAATTTTTTTTATGACTATTAGCAAGTAGGGTTAGAAGTGTGTTAATTTATGGTCGCGGTTGTAACACCATGCTGCATAATGCCGGAGACTGTGCCTTACCAGTTAATTTACCGATTAGGCAATAAAGCTTTGCAGCACCTTTGAGTACTTTATTCTCGCTAATCCTAGATGTACAGAATGCCGTTAATCGTAGATATTTTGGTGGTAACTGTAGTTTGTTTAGGTCCAATACTTGTAACCAGCACTTTGGCTTCTACTATGGCGCTGGCTTCTGACCTCGATGTTTGACCCTGACCGTGTTTTAGAATAAGTTTAGTCCAAATAAGTAAGACGAGAACTGGAGAAAAGAAGTACATAAAAACAAAAATACATTGAAGTTCATTTATTAAATTTGAGAATGTTCTAGTCTACATAATGTGCTTTATTAAATTTTTAGAAATTAATACAAATTCTGAAGTATCTTCTTACTCAGGTTGAATTAACATTATCCCAAGTCTAAGGGTACATCGTGCGTAGTAGATTAAAAAATTGGTATGAGGTACTGCATATCTAGAATAGAATATATTAATTATTTAATTATGAGTAATATCAGACGAATTAACGAAGGTTTTTTGACCCATGCAAGCATCAACTATGTTTCTCTAATGTACCTACATACTTAAATATTGTATGCTAAGTTGATACATTATAATTGTTATCGTATTTTAAGAATACCATTGTAAGCATATTTTAAAGAAAATTATTTTAATGTATACATTAAAATAATTTTCTTTGGAATATGCCAATCGCCATCCCCATCGTGCTTATGATAACTGATTTTGTACTGAAGTGTTTAAATAATTTCGGTTTTATTTAACAATGTAAACAAAAGTACTCAGTACTACATCAGTTTCCGTTTTAAACTCGAAATCTATTTGTATTTTATTGACGTTTTAACTCATTAAATAAAAAAGAATAATTTTCTTCTCATATTTCATCGCTAAGCACCTGATAAGTTAGCACTTAAAGTTAACAATTTCATAGGTCATGGCACTCTCGAAATCAGGTTGTTTGATATTGAAGGAAAATATCATGAGGAAACCTGCATATTTTCGAAATAATAACAAAATGTAATATTAAATATTTCTAAGATATGTGAAATCTGCCAATACGCAGTGAGGCCACGTGATGTACCATGGCCTAATACCCTCTGTACAGAGTAGCTTTAACCAGCAGCTAGACATATAAGCTCTTACTTTACTTTTACTTTATTTTATTACTTACAGCACTAAATGTGTTTAAGTTCATGACGAGGTACCCGTTTGCTGTCAATTGAAATGGTTTCTGAGTGCGCATCATGAACATCAACATCAACTTTTTGACTTGTGGACTTGCGTTGGGCCAGTCAGCAGAGTAAATAGACTTAGTCAAATCTTGACTCTGTAATAATATAACAGTGGTAGAGCCACACAACAGGCGCTCGCTGTTGCACGAATGGGCAGATCCGTCCGGGCAAGTACCAAGACCTCACAGAAGACTGGCGTTAATTTTAAGACTTACAATAAATTAAAATCATGTGAGCTTATAACATTAGCGACAGTGATATCAATTTCGTCACTAAAATGAGCAATAGATATGGTAACAATTTCACAATCTGTTGCTTATACATATATAGAATACTAAAACACTAAAAAAAAAAAACAAGTTAAAACGATATAGCTCGAAAAATATGTGTATAGCTTCAGTCCTTAATATCAGCACAATCGCATTAATTTATAACATATTGTTTATAAAGCTGGCTTTATCTGACCATAATCAGAATATTTCACATAGTACTAATACTTTTTCTAGTGTTTCCTCGATTAAAGTTTGGAATACTTATAATGTAAAAAATTATTAAGCAATACTTACGTGATCACTTAAAATCTGCCCTGCTATGCATAGGTTGAAGCTTTCAACAAGAAGAGACACAAAGAAAGAAAAATAACGGACGGATAGGTAAAAGCTGTCAACCATCTGAAATATAATATTTTTTTAGCTTGTTACAGATTGATTGATATGAACTTGTTAGTTAACCCCTGGCACAAATGATAGCACAAAAAAGTAAGAAAAATGAGGGCAGAATCCGAGTATTTTTTTAGAAATTAAATACAAAAGAAAACTTTTAAAAGCCGAGAGCTTAATTTACCGTGAATGTGAATGCAGTTAAACATATTAAAACAGCCCCGAGAGAGTAGTTAAGAAACATAGCACAGCCTAAAACATTGTCCAGAGATGCAGATATTCTGGAAAAACACAAAATATATTTTGGCTAGAATTCAGAACTCTCATCACTTATGTTATCTGCGTGAACATGTTTTACTTAGCAAGTAAATGGTGCCTCGCAATTATTCGTTTCAACTGTAACAAAACCCTTTTGTGTATTTCATCGGATATTGCGCGAAGTTTCAAATTTTTCACATCTTCTGAGGTAATAATATCTTCAAGGTTGTAGCCTAATATTTTTAATTCCATGCAAATATACAATATGTATGTAGCATGCATCATATTCGAAAATCCATACAAAAACACTACCAATGCTGTCATACAACTTTCCCATATGTACGCGCTCCAATACCATTTTACTTTATCGAATGGATACCATCCGTCGAAGGGGTACAGATACTGTAATTCTTTACCCAAAACTTTGTATTCATAGGTCATTACAAGAAACGGAAATGAATTGACTACAATTATAAGGGGTATTGAATAGTAACACACGAATCTATTGAATACCATAGCAATAAATCTATAGTTTTTCAGAACTCGAAGGTGCTTGTTTGATTCGAACGAGACAAAGTTCCAAACGTCATCCCGAAAATGACAAAATATTTCATCATAAAGCGCTCTATTGGTGTGAATTTTTATATACTTTATTGCTGATACTATACAGGCACCCAAGTTTGGTCCAACATTAATAAGTTCGAACCAATCTTTGAATCCTGTGTGGCATAAAGTAAGGAATAACTGAATTGTGGTGATTATCACTAAAATATTTAATACAAAGAAGCCGCCTAGTTGAATTTTTGTCCGTCCTCTGAAAGGAAACAGGAACAATTTAGAACCCATCATACGCAAAAACTCCAATTCGTGTATAACTGGGCGTCGTATTGCAGAAATTTTAGGCATGTTAATTGGAAAATAACTGAGTAATTTTTTAGGCAAATGAAAACATTTGGGGTTGTAAACTGATACTAATTGTGTATAATGTTTTAAGAATAAACGTGTATAAATACTAATACGCCTGTGGAAACGTGTACGCTCTATTGGAACGTGTCAAAGAATGAATTGTTTTTGATGACTATATAAGTCTTGTTAAATCACAAAAATAATGGGAGCTTTAAGGACATTTAATTATTTTTTAAATAAATATGAAATGAATCTAGGTCATTTTAATACAGTATGTTAATTTTTTAAATTTTTAAAAAATAAATTTTTTAAATTTTTATAAAATAATTTTTTTAATAATTTAAAAAATCTTTTAAACAATACTCGTGCCTAAAGATATGTCTTAAGTATATTATCTAATTAAATGTCTTAATTTTGGCGAATTTTTGCTCAAATACATCGTTGTTTTAGGATTTTGTGCATCCTATTGTTTTATGTTCTTAATAAGTTAGTGATGGCTAACCTATTAGCACCTTCCTACAAGAGACTACTTAAGGGATCGTGGAAATAATCTTTATATATAATAATTTTAAACAAAAAAAAACCGACTTCAAACAGGAAACTAATAAAAATATTGTCAATACCTATGACATTTGAGGATTGCCCTCGATATCTCTGGGATGCTATTATCGGATCTGAGTTTCCTTATCATGGTACCACCCTTGGGATATGTCCTTTCCAACAAAAAAATAATCATCAAAATCGGTTCATTAATGACAAAGTTATCCGCGAACACACATTAAAAAAATAAAAACATATACGGTCGAATTGAGAAACCTCCTTCTTTTTTGAAGTCGGTTAAAAACGGATTGCTGTTCGTTAGTCTCACTAAAACTCGAGAACGGCTGGATTGATTTGATTAATTTTGGTTTTGAAATATTTGGGGCAATCTAGGGAAGGATTAAAATTAAACGGTGAGAAATTTTATAGAAAATTGCATGGAAAATCGAAATTACAACAATTTTATTTTTCCATGTCAACCTGTCAACTATGTCTGTGTAACCTGTCAAACACTTCATGCGTGCGTTCCGAAAATTCTTTTATGTGTTCAGACTGAAAAATTCCCTAGAAATAATTTATATGGCAAGACAACGTTTGCCGAGTCAGCTAGTATTAAATATAAATTTAAGCTACACCGTCTCAAATCTTAAATGTCATGTTAACTATAAATGAAAATTTGCTGTCTATCTATTAAGATTTTTATTTCAAAACAACATGTATATGCATAGGCAATAACTAAAACTAGACGATTCAGCCAGAACCGCCCAATTATACGGAGCTTTATAATAAAGTTGTAAGACGCAAATTAGCAAAGTGTATCATCAGAATAGATTGACAGGATCGTAATTTAATATTGACGTAAATAGGTCAAGGAGCTCTCGGCTCTTGTGATCGCTTATAATTTGCTCGTATTGTTCGACGTTAAATCGCAAGGGGGCATCGCTTCACAATGCCGTTTGAAGCTCTTTGATGCATGACTAATATGGGCATTAATCCGCTGAGAGCATGTCATCCACTTCACGCTAATGCAGGCACGGGGTTGATTCCGATTTGGTTTTGGAAGTATTTTAAAAATATATCCATGTAAAGAACCTTATAATGCATAAGTTACAAAATAATAAAATTGAGCTGCGTCGACAAAAATGTGTGTGTGTAGATTTTGGGAACATTTGTTTTGGGTTGACTTTTTATTGACTTGAGGACTTCGTGGCGCAACTGCCAAGGTATTGGCTTCGGGGTTGGGGGTCGTGGTTTCGATTCACACACGGGACAACTATTTGTCTGACCTACAGATAGTTGCTTCGCATCTGGGCGTTTGTCCGCGTGAAATTTATGTTTGTAAAACGTCCTTACAACACAGGATGATAATGTTATCCTAAAGTAAGGGCAAAGGTTTAAAAAAAAAAATGCATCTAAAACGTACAAAGCATTTTCTTATCAGCGGTTATTAATTCAAATGAGTGTGACAACGATTTTCGGAACCATCATATACTGTAAGATCTTCTTGAAGATTGCATTGCAAATAAAATAAAGTAAGGTGTTTTCAATTTCGAATGAGACTTTACATTTCCCTTCCTATATTCGAATCTCCAGATTCAATCAGGCCCACAAATGTTCATTCGAATAGGGCCACATTTGTCTTTAAATTGAATTCATTTATAGAATGCATTTCAGATCTATATAAATGTATCCTCATACATTTTCAATTGTAGTATAGATTGACTGACGTTTCGATCTCTTTTAAGTAAGTATGGTAGGAGTAGGATATTTTCCATTTTACGTATTATGACATTTTTCAACTGCAACGTCAACTTGTAACTTTTGTTATTTAATAGTGTTTAGGACAATTATTCAAATCTCTTTTTTTCATCAAATATTGATAGTTCCTGATAATACGAAACAAAATTCGAATATACAGTATATCAATTCCTGATAATACAAAATCGAATACCTTAAAATTCCACAATTATGAATAATTCCAAAATGGTAAATGCGCACCAAAAGCAGTATTATACTCAATATATACAAAAGCAGTGTTATTACCTAAGAAATGGAAATTAAAGGAATGATAAAAAGGTTATGAGGTTGCAGCATCAGAGTTCAACACAAAAGAATTTGCACAGAAGGTTTTATTCAAACCTGCGAACAAGATCTCACACGTCAAATTTCACTTACTGAATAGAGCACCCTTCGTGGCTCAGAATCTTTATAAATAGTTGTGCGAGAATGGTGCTTAATTTGATGGAAATCCTTGCTTCATCTCAATAGATTCCAGAAAGTCAAGGGTTCGTGCGGAGTGAGTGAATTGATCCGCGATTTAATTGAGCTTTTATATTATTAACTTTTGGAATATTTAATTACATTCTTCGCAGTTTTTTTCAATTACTGTAGAAAACTTGTTATTCGGAAAGACCTTTTATACTTGTCATTAACATTTCCCAATTTATTTTCTTTCAGTTACAATCTTCGGTGATTTGGATCAAAGAAATAGAGTCAAAAGTAATTAAAATAATATGTTAAGATTAAAGCCATCATTTTCTCTTTGTTCATAAATTGTTTCTCAATCACAATTGCATGGAATGCAATGTCATCAACCTGCATTGGAAAATGTTTTGAAGCGTCTGGGCTTGAACGGCCGTGATATTAACATCAATAGCGAATACATCACCCACCTTCGATGTTTCGATGACGTCATCAAGGTAAAGCGCTGGATACTTTGGCGTGTACTCGAAGTTTTTGATGAGTTTACATAGGAGACTTAGTCCACTTAGGTAAGTCCAGCTTAAGCGTAGAAATCAATCGGCGAATCCAAGTCGGACAGAATGTTGCTCTTAATTAAAATTAATTTTAGCATAATTTGATCGAAGCGTATTTTTATGTGCCTTTACATAAAAATATCCTTCAATTTTGTGCAAAGTCTACATTTGAAAAGTATGTGGCGACTCATTTGCTACTGTGTAGCACCGCTCTTATCTTTTACACCCTTACTCTCATCGGTCTAGCATTACCCTATTATTGACAAATTTCTATAACAACGAGTGACAATAAAAGATTATGTTTTTCGCAACACGGCTTGTTCTTTGTACTGCATCTTAATTATTCCCTCCTGCCGGCTCCCAAACTGGTGACCAAATATGCGCAACATCGGAGCCCACGTCGCTACGCTCTGCAGTTTCGCTCGGAAACAACAATTTCCGCGATAATCGAGGTTTGTTCCATTCTGCGACGCCGCCTAGGTACGCTTTCTTCTTTTTGTTTTTCCCTCCGTGCAGAGAAGTCTGCTAGGGAGACTAGAAAAGCCACCTGCGAGTGAGACTATGGTATAGCCTGCGAGGGAGATTGTACAGAACAGCCATGAAGCTATAATCGCAACAACTGTAAACGCATCTACGATAATCTACATCGCTATTGGACTCGTATTTTGTCCATTCTATGTAGCGCTGAGCCGGCATTTTTGGCATCGAGGCCGGCCATTTTTCTTTCTCTACCGGAGCTACGTCATCTTTGACGAGGAGGAAGTTGAAAAGCGCGCCACACGCGGCAATCACCCTCAACATTGTGTCAGGTGACTAACAGC